TAAAATCTTACAATTTCTTCCAGAAAACTTTAAGCATCATTTAGTAAATTGTTTCTAAGTATTTAATACTTGTTGACAAAATACTTCTAAAATGTTAATGCTATGTGCTGTCATTCTACAGAAATGAAATTGATTTTTGAATATCAATATTTGCATGTAGCAAATGTATTCTTCAAATTTATTGATTCAGATTTCCTACATATATTATCTGAGACTATGAGTTTTTACTTGAGAGGAAATGAAGACAGATATCCTTAGCTTTTTTCCAATGTCAAATAGAGAGCTTTCAGTTATTCATCATGTTTGCTGTAGATGTTTGGTAGATACCCTCTAATTAGACTGAAGTGTCCTTATACCTAGTTTAATAGTGGTTTTCATCATGAATAAATGTTTAATGTTTAGCAAATGCTCTTTCTCCATCTCTTGTGATGATTTACTATTCTTTAAATTGATTATATTTGATTTTGTAATGTGAAGAAAACTTTGGATTCCTGGAATAAACCCAACCAGATCAGGATGCATTATCACTTGCCGAGTCTTCCTAACACCTAGGTGAGGATTTTGCATGTATGTTCCTAAATTAGCCAGAAATGTTTCTTTCTCATATTTCATTTGCTCTCAAATATTTTCTGGTCTCATAAAATGAATTAAAGAGTATCTCTTTTCATCTATTCTCTGAAAAACTTGTTTAATTTTGTTATTATTTCTTGAGTATTTCCAGCACTACTCCCTAAATAAGTTAAGCTTGGAATTTTCTTTCTGGGAATGTTAAATTGTTGGTTCATTTCCTTTCATGGCTATAGAACTATTCATCTTTGGTAAGCTTCACTTTTTAAAAAATGTCCATTTCTTCTGCATGTTACTAGTTTATTGGACATACATATTCATATCTAAGGTTACAAGAGAAAAAATTAGGCTTTTTTTCCTTCCTAAAATAGATTATATGCACCTGCCTTGCTTTTCTAGATTAACTTGGCCAGGTATCTTTCATTCTTATCAATCTTTTTTGAAGAAAAAACTTGATTTCTTAAGCTTTGAGTTGATCTATTTTGAGATAATTTTTTCTAACTTTAGATGTTCCTCCTATATTTAGCCATTTTATATCTATTAGACACATTAATCAATTTATTATAAATGGTGCTTTAATTTGAATCCATATTTATTAAGCATTTTCATCACAGTCTAGTTTCACTTACATTTCAAAAAATGAAGATTCTTAATCATTTACTACCAGGTAAATGCCAATTTAGAATTACTTCTTAGTGAATCAAACTTTTCATTATGGGAAGTGACTCTCTTTATTATAAAATAACTGCCTTCATATGGCTGTTCCCATTTTGGCTAGCGACCATCATTTTATACCTAAAGTTTCCATTTCCTACATCATGCGTCATCATCCATAAGTGAAGCCCACGAGCAAGTAAGTCTTGTCCATATAAGGAATGGATCACAAATAATGACCCCTGAGTGGCTGCCTGTGCAGCTGATGAAATTCCCCGACCCACTTACACCAGCCACCTGCTATATAACCAAGGCCTTTCCACCCAGCTCTCTTCTTGTTCCTCTTTCGCCGAGTAGGCCACTGTGCCACAGAAGCTCTACAATAAATCTCTCATACAAGCTCTGTGTGTGGAGTGATCCTTGGCAGGAGCCAGTTTCTTTCATTTATCCCTAGAGATACTTCTTCCTTAACATTTTCTTTTCAGGCATTAACATCAGCTTTCTGTCTTGTGCAACTTTTCTCATTTTACTTTTAAACTTTCTGTATTTTATGCTTTATATGACAGCATCTAATTGTTTTAATTTTTAAACCAGGCAATAATTTGACTTTAATTAAATAAATTAGTCCATTTATATTTCATGTAATTACAAACATATTTAAGTTACATCCATAATCTATTTTCTAGCAATAACAGTGTCAGAGAATTTACCTAGGCTCCAGGGTTGAAGGGCTGCAATTGCTGGTGGCCTTCTTGTGAAGTAGAGTCCTAAGGCAGATCAAGAAATCACAGATAGGTTTATGGTAAGAGACAGGAACCACACCTTTTCATCATTTTTCCAATATTCAATCATGGAGGATTCCACCTTGAGGACCTTTATTTAACCCTACTTATTTCCCCTGAAGGCCTCCCCTCCAAACACAATAGTCGGATTAAATCTCCAACCTCTATCTCACAGCAGGGGTTTAAACTTCAAGATTCTGAGAAAATGAACCATTATCAAATCCCAGTATTTACATCCTTTTTTAAAAATGTACCTTGCCTGTTTCTTTTTCTATTTTATAATGATTATGTATAAAAATAGAAGAAAAACTTGCAAGGAAAAACTTTGAGATAAAGACCTGATAGGGGCCACTGGCTCTAAAGTGCCAAAACAGCTCTCCCTTAGAGTAAGAACTTTATATGGGGTAGCTAGGACAGTAGAGAATGAAGAAGCTGGAAAGTAACCACTCTGGAATCAGATCATCTTAGTCCGTGGTCACTTGGCCATTTCACGTCTGTATACAGTTCATTATTCTTCTGGAGCTGAGGGCCTCCCGGACAGGAATGCCAGTCAGTTAGACATATTGTTAGAACGATGAGAATGTGAGAAAAGGCCAGAACTTATGGGAAGATGTTCTTGGACTTTTCCTTTCACATGACTTTTTCCTATTTCTTTTTCACCCCTACTAACTCAGATGTTATACTCATTTCTGCATAGCAGTCATTTGAAGTGATTAAACTATATTTGTGCATAAAATTAACCAGACCATTCAGATTTAAGAGCACTTACTCCAATCATATGTGGTGTTTTAAATCTTTTTTGAACTCCACAAAACATCATTACTGTCCCATATGGTAAATGTCCTTTAGATTCATCCTTATTTACAACCTTGTGGGTCATTTATTCCTTTTTGAATCTCCTCACTACATAATACATACTTTAGTCAGAATCTGTAGGTAGCAAGCTATTTTGGTGTTAAAAACTACTATCATTCTTGGACTTCACTGGAGACATAATTTTAAATTAGAAGTTAGTTTCATTCAACACAGATAGTCACTCAACTGGTTTCTGATTGGCATTACAACTTTTGAGAAGTTAGCTGAAAGAAAGTCTAGCTGTGAGGGATTTATCATGCAATGATTATGATTTCAGTCCACTGCATCTTCAATAGTAATTTCTAGGACTTTCAATTCTGGTGAGACTACATGAAGTTCATTTATTACTTGTAGATAAGCAGCAAGGGGTAGCAGCAGCTGGCTCAGGAAAGCTGTCTGGAGCAGTTTTATCTGCATACTCCTCACTTGTATTTTCAGGTCCCCGGAAGGCAGTCCTGAGTTTCATACCCTGCAGGTGACCTTTTATGTTGAGCTACAATGCTGAAAGTTGTACTGGTAAGCTTTCCTGTTGCTGGGACACAATATCCAGTACCCAGAACTGGAAGAAGATGCTTAAATTGGCTCATTCTTTTAGGGGATTCAGTCCATGGTTGGCATGCTCTAAGGAAAAACACAGGAAAGGGCAATTTAAAGGAGGAAAGGTTTAAACTGATTCATGTTTTTTTTCTTTTATTGAGTTTATTGGTACATTTCAGGTATACACTACAATTACAATCATCATTGGGATCTTGTACCTTTACATGACAGGTTTTGGTTCTCACATTTTTCCCCTTGTCCAAGTCCTCCCTTCACTCCCTCCTCCCCTCCCCATTTACAAACACTTTATTTCCATTTTTCTCATTTTGTCATATTTTTTCTTTTCTCTTATTACTTTTCCCCTACCCTTCCCATTTTCCCTACACCTTTAGCCCTTCTCTTCCTATTTCACATGGTCAATTATATCATTAGGATCTTATGTACTGTTATAGTTTTTCACAACAGAGAAACTATTCGGTATTTACACATGTGTGACTTATATATTTCACTTAGGAGTATATCCTTAATATGTATCCATTTTCCTATGAATGAATCTAATTTCTCATTCTTTATGGTTGAGTAGTATTCCATTTTATAGAAAAAACCACATCTTCTTTATCCAGTTTCCAACTGATGGGCAAATGGGCTGTTTCCAAGTTTTACCTATTACAAACTGTGCTGCTATAAACATGGGTGTGCATATATCACTGTGGTATGATTCTAATTCTTTTGGAAAGATATTCAGCAGAGAGATGGCTGGGTCAAATGGAACCTGTAGTCCCAGCTCTTTGAGGTATCTCCGTATTGATTTCCATAGTGGTTGCACCAGTCTGAACTCCCACCAACAACGGAGAAGGGTTCCTTTCTCCCCACACCCCCGCCAACACTTGTTATTGTGTGATTTCTTGATAGCAGACACTCTTTGTGGAGTGAGGTGGAATCTCAGTGTTGTTTTCATCTGCATCTCTCAAATGACCAGTGATGTGGATTTTTTCATATATTTACTTACTGCTTTTACTTCTTTGTTTGAGAAATATCTGTTCATTTCAGATGCCCATTTTGAATTGGGTCTTTATATTTGGGGGGGGCTGATTGTTTAGAGTTCTTTATGTATTCTAGAGAATAGTCCTTTGTCTGAGGAGCAGCTGGTAAAAACTTTTTCCCACATTGTAGGCTCTCTCTTAGTTCTGTTGATGGCTTCTTTTGCAGTGCAGAAGCTTTTTAATAAGATGAGATCCCAGTTGTTGATTCTTTTTGCTAGTTCCCCTGCTACTGAGGATTTGTTCACAAAGTTTTTTCCTATGACAATGCTTTCAAGAGTTCTGCCTAACTTATCTTCCAGCAAGTTTAGTGTTTCTGTTTTAATGTTTAGATCCTTAATCCACTTGGATTTTAATTTAGTGCATGGTGAAAGATAAGGGTCCAGTTTTAATCTGTGGCAGGTTGAAATCCAGTTTTTCCAACACCATTTATTAAAGAGGCTATATTTCCTCCACTGAGGATGGTCAGTTGCTTTGTCAAAGATGACATAGGTGAGTACATTTGGATTTGTTTTTGTGTCTTCCAGTCTGTTCCACTGATCCTCAGGCCTGTTTCTTTGCCAGTACCATGCTGTTTTATCACAGTGGCTTTGTAGTATAGTTTCAAATTGGGAATTGTTATACTCGCTGAAACTGGCTCATGGTTTTAAGGCATTTGTGCTAGGCTAGCTCCAAGAAAGGAACATTATGGCAGAAGGGCAAAGCTACTTAGTTCATTGTGGCCAGAAATTTAGAGGGCTAAAAGGACAACAGAGAGGAAATAACTAAAGACTAAATGTGGTACCAAAGGTCATGTCTTGATGACTCACCCAGAAGTATGATTTACTAATTCCCCTGGGTGGCTCTATGGTCAATCAAGTTGATAATCCAGTTTAACTATCACAAAGGATATCCAGTTCTAGGAGGGACAGTTATAGAGCCCAGGCTGTTCTGGACAATCTCTCCTTATCACAGAATTTTGCATTCCCAGCATATTCCCAGCACATTTTTCTAAGAACAACAGTGGAGTAGAGGGGAAGAGCTGACTCACCAGTCATATTCAAGAACCTGTCCTGCCCTACCTGATGTCACTTGCAAGATAATGTGGGACTTTTGGCTAATTTAAACAGTTTTTGTCTTTGGTATTCTACTTTGATTATGGCATGTTGAAGAAAGAATTTCATATTTATCTCATAGGTTTTTTTACTTTAAAAATTCTCAGCAGCTATGTCTTCAAATGTCATTTCTATCCCTCAACCCATTTGAACTATTAGACATTAAACCATTTTGCCCTTTCCTGCGCTCCCATGTTATCAAGCTAATTTTCTATGCAAAATGCTGGATTTCTTCTGTACTATCCCCCAGTCTCTAATTCTTACTTCAGGTCTATCTTACCTTCTATGAAATCTGTCCATTGATATTTTTTGATTTATTTTGTTTTGTTCATTTCTAAAAGTTCTATTTAATTCTTTTTCAAGTATGCTAGTTAATTTTTATAATGCTTAATTCCCTAGACATTATAAGCAACTTATTTTAATACATGGGCTTTGTACTACACATGTGCTAATTTCAGTATCTGAGTTTTTTGGTGCTCTGCTTTTGCTGACTTAGTTGTGGTGCTAGCTTTCCTTGTGGAGTTTATTTAAATATAAGGCATCCATTTCCCTAAGAAAATTTTGACCTTAGTATCTTCCAAATATTTGTTTACATTTGCCATGTACTTATTTGGGGCCATGTTAGACAAAGTCTCAACTTTTATTATAGCACACAGATGACTTGAGTTTGGAATGATCTGCTATTCTGCACAAGTACTATAGCAGCTTTTCACTTACTCTTATCCCAACAGTATAGTCCTTAGGGTCTTAACTTCCAGAGGGCCCTAAGCTGTGTATTCTGTCTTTATGGTTTCTAAGGACAATCAAAAGCAAATGTGAAATTCACCCTCAGGAGAAAGAGGCTGGAGCAGTTTCAGTTTACCAACATTAGCCTTGTAATTACTTAATTACTTAGGATATTTCCAGGTCCTAGATGCAACTAAAAATCCTTTTTTTAAAAATTCTACTTAAGTTTCACTTTTTACAAGGCAAATTGCTCAGATGAGCAGTCAGGCATTATTTAAAACAAAATCTAACATTTTGTGAAAACACTATATGTTAAATAGTATCTTTTTTTCACTATAAATGCCAGAAAATTTCCTATGTTATTAAAAATTCTTCATAAATCTAAATTTAAATGAGCTCACTTGTGTCTGCCATTGGGAGACAGCTGGCTAGTGTGGGGCAGCTTCAGATAAGTGGTCCACTCTGCTTCACATGGCCTGCTCCTCTGCTGGGTTAGAGCAGGGCTGTCCCTCAGCAGCTGAGCAAGTTTCCAACAGTACCAGTGACACTGCCAGACTCTGAGGCCTATACCCTAAGTCTGCACAATGCCAGTACACCACTCTTTTGAGCAAATCAATTCACAAGGCCAACCCAAATTTGAAGAACTGGAAAATGGATTATAGGAGGAACTGTCAATTTACCTTGAAAAGAGAACAGCAGAGAATCAGGGCCATTTTGCCATACATTACATAGTATTGCTAATAATAAGGTGGCTCAAAGAAATAGACAAATCAAAGATGAACTACAGAATTCTAAACTGGAATTGATACTGTTGATACTGTTCATAAACTGAGAAGGAAAGAAAAATTTGATCTGCCATGAGTTGGAAATGCTAAAAGAAATTTCAAGCATATATCTGAAATTCAAAAATAAGCTTTAGGGTAATGTTAGAGATTTAAGAATACAACTAATATATGAAACAACAAGTTATACAGGTGAGAATCCTGAGGATGAAACCCAAGAGACTATCAAGAAGCAGAGATAATGCTGTGTCCAAACATCACAAGGTAACATAACATCCTTACACTGACTGATATAACATTAATTCTGGCAAGTGAATGGTTGGCTATCTTGGCAGAAGTAACAGAAAGGGGAAAAAGAAAAGAAGATGCTATAGAGGGATGGCTGAAGTGAATGATAACAAGAACTAGGGAAGATTGGGATGAAAATGATGGCAGCAGTGGAGCAGCCAGGACACTGAACACAATGAGTGGCCAAGACTGCTAAAAATGATTCCCTCACACTCCTCAAGTTAGCAGTTCCTGACCTGTCTGCTTACACATTCTTAGTGTCACAGTATTTACATAGTACATCTAGACAAAAACGTAACAGCAAAAGACTTTATTTTATTTAAAATCTAATCAGTAAGTATGTCTTAAAAACTGTTAGCTGTTGTGACAATTTGTACAATCTATACTGTGATAGTATAGCATTGAATGTTAAAGTTTCTCTTTAAACTTTCATTGTGACTCAACAATAATTCAGAGAGGGAACATACAGAATAATAATCATATATAATTAAAATAAAATGATAAAAATTTCAGAATAATAATATATTTAACAAATTTTGGGGGATCCACATCTACTGTTATCATGACAAACTTAACTAATTAGCCTGAAGCTAATGCCAGAGTTAGAATAGGATTTAAAATAAATTTATGTATTAAAACATTCTCAGAAAAATTTCAGTGTGTCTACTCTCCAGCCTTCCTCATTTAATCCAAAAATTAAATTCCATTCAGCAAATATTATTATTCCAAACATGCCATTAAGTTTTCCAGCTGTCTGAGCCATACATTGCATTCTTACCATCCAAAAATGAAAGTATTGCATTAAATTGAAAGAATAAAGTTCAGGCATTCTTAAAGCTGAGATAAAGTTTTACAAGTCAATGATAGTTAAAAGTAGTAGATTTTACATGCAATTTACATGCTTTACCAAACATTACTTTATTTACTAAAATTTTGGCTTTGTAGATTCAGGAATACTAAATTGCTTGTTGGGTTTAGTAGCTTCTTGCATCAGCTCCTTTAACTGTCCAATTTGTTCATCACGAAAGTCATTAAGTTTTTCTTCTGAGAGGGAGCTGCCAAAATATGTTTTTCCAGTTGAATTTTGTCTGTTTTCATTAGCTTGTTGCCTTAATACTGCTGCATAAACCTAGTAAAAAGAGAAAGAAAACTGAAGGTTACAGATATAAAATTAAGATCCATGCTAATTAATTAAGAACATCAATCTAACTCTGAGTCACCTAATTTTCGACATCACTAAATTTTCCTCCATTTGCTTAAGAAGATAAGGGAAAATAGCAGTGCAGGCACTAAAGTCCTGTCAAGAGGCCTGCCTAGATACTTTCAATAAGTACACTCAGATCCCATTCAGAAACCTGCCTGGACAACAGAGGCTTGGGTGTGCAGATCCCAGCCAGGACCAGGACAGACACCAGCAGTAACTGTGTGCAGGTCCCAGGCACAAGCCTGCTTAGATTCCAGTGACACACCCCAGCCAAAGGCTCTCACAGACAACAGCTACATAAGGACTCTAGCCAGAGGCACAACTAGATATAATAGTTAAGTACGGCAGAGGCCCTAGCCAGAACCCCACTCAGTTAACAGTGCAGTGCATGGATACATAAGGTCATCATTCTAAACCTAGGAATTGGCCAAGGGGTGAGCACAGAAAACTTCTCTGAGCCTGGCTGAGAATTGAACCCACTAGGTGAGCAAAGAGTCACCTCATCAAAGGTGCAGCAGGCAGCATCTGTTGAAATGAGAAGACTCATAAACAAGACTGAAAACCAGACTTCCAGATCACCAAAGGAAACCCCAAGGGGAAACTAGATGGAACAATATGATACTCAACCACTTGGACTCCCCGAACAGGCAATGGAAGAGGATCTGGAAAAAAATAAAATCAGAAATAATTTCTCAGAAAACAACAGAGATTGTGTCCATACTGAAAGACATGATTACAACTCTAAAGCAGATATAAGTAAAAAAAGAAAGGAACTGAGGAATAAGATGGAATCCCAACATAGAGAACAAACAAAATTCATACAACATGCAAATAGATATCCAGGAGATTAAAAACTCCACTGAAAGTCTACAAAGCAGAATGAGCCAATGTGAGGACAGAATATCAGATTTAGAAAACGGGACTGCAATTAATGACCAGGAATAGAAAGATTTCTTAAAAATAATAAAGGATCATGAGAAATCAATCCAGCAGCTGTTAGATGATGCAAAGAAGAATAAGACTGACCAGAGTCAGTGAAGAAACATCAAATAGTGCAAATTACATTAAAAAAAATTCATAAAAGTAATTGCAGAAAACTTCACAAGCAGGAGAAAAGAATCTGACATACAGATAAGTGAGACATATAGGACTCCAACTAGCTGTGATCAAAAAAAAAAAAAATCTACACCTAGGCATATAATAGTCAAGATTCCAGAAATACAACAGAAGAAAAAATACTACAAGCAGTTAAAGAAACAAATCACATACAAAGGAAAGCCTCAGAATCACAGCAGACTTCTTAAAACAAATCCTCAAGTCAAGAAGAGCCTGGAGTGAAGTATTTCAAGCCCTAAAAGAAAATAAACTCCAACCAAGATTGATGTACCCTGCAAAACAATTTTTCAAAATCAAGAGAGAAATAAGATACTTTTATCTCAAAAAGCAACTGAGGAAAAAAATTTAATATCCTAGGAAAAGACAATGAGAGTCATAACCTAACAAAGCATAGCAGAATGAATCCATTAGGCAAGACAAGAAATTAAATGCAAAGGGGGAAAATCCAACAACAGGAAAGGTCATGACAAGGATAAATCAATACATATCAATTATAACCATCAATGTTAATGGTCTCAGTTCAGAAAGCAAAAGAGATAGACTGGCAGAATGGGTCAGGAAGCAAGATCCCACAATATGCTGCATACATAAAACACACCTAATTCAAAAAGAAACTCAAAGACTGAAAGTTAAAGGATGAAAAACAATACTCCATGTGAAAGTAACCCGAAAAAAAGCAGGAGTAGCTGTTGTGTTTACAGATCAAATGGATTTCAAACCAAGACTAAGAGAGACAAAGAAGGCCACTACATCCTTGTAAAGTTAACAATCCAACAGGAAGAGATGACAATCATAAACGTAGATGCACCAAATGCTAGTGCACCCAAATATATAAAACAAATATTAAAGGACGTGAAGAATCAAATAAGCACTAAGACAATAGTAGTGGGGGACCTCAATACCCCACTGTCACAAATAGATTAGGTAGGCAAAAAATAAGCAACAAAATAGTAGAACTCAACCAAACTCTTAAACAAATGGACTTAACAGATGTTTAAAGTGTTCAACCCACAAAATCAGAATACACATTCTTTTAAGCTGCACATGGATTGTTCTCCAAAATATACCACATACTTGCTCATAGAACATGTTAAAGTAAATACAAAGAAACTGAAGTTATGCCCTGTATACTATCAGATCATAATGCAATGAAATTGGAGATCAATAGCAAAAGAAACCACAAGAATTTCATAAACAGGAAAATTGAACAACACACTTCTAAGTAACCAATGAGTCACAGAGAAAATTTAAGAAGAAATCAGACAGTTTTTACAATTAAATGAAAATGTCAATACAACATATCAGAATCTATGGGACACTATGAAAGAAGTCTTACCAGGGAAATTCATAGCAGTGAATACTCATATTAGGAAAACAGCAAACTCAATTAAACATCTTGTTGCTGAACCTCAATCTTCTAGAAAAAGAAGAGCAGGATCATATGAGGGAGGAAATATCATGTGAGGGAGGAAATTATAAAGATCAGAGCATAAATTAATGAAATGGAGACTATGAGAATGATACAACAAATCAATGGGGCAAAGAGTTGATTCTTCAAAAGAATAAGTAAAAATGACAAGCCCTTAGCCAACCCTTAGCCAAGGTGAAGCAAGCACCACCTTGATCTCAAAAGCAGAGAAAGACCCAACTAAAAGAGAAAACTACAGGCTGATCTCACAAATGAACAGATACAAAAATTCTCAATAAGAGAGGAGTGCAGGCACATATCTCGAAGCCACAGACCACCAAGAAAAGAGCTGCACAGGTGTGCAACCTTCATCCAGAGTTCCACCATACCATTGGTAAATGCATGCACATACCAGGGAGCAGCTGTGTGGACCAGAGTGGTGTGACTGCAGTCGGGTCCTAGCGAGGGACCCGCCCTGACCCTAGAGGTGCAGGAACACGTGCCCACACCACAGCCCACCTAGAAAAGAGCTACACAGGCATGCAAGCTTCATCCAGAGGCCTGCCATACCCTCGGCCACAGTGAAGGGCCCACCTGAAAAAGAACTACAAAGACACACAAATAACAACCAGAGGCTCACCCTGATACTACTGATTAGTGCCTGAACACCCTAGCCAGAAGCCTACACCCACAATAGGAACTGAGATACATAGCCCCCAATCAAAGGACACCCCAGACAACAGCTATATAAGGGCCCCACTGAGAGTCACATTTTGATACCATTCCAAGTGTGCACAGCCCCCAGCCAGAAGCTTGCCCAAACAGGTCATCTCAGGGATATAGAAGGCCCATCATTCTAAACTCAGGAATTGGTGTACTAAGGAGCAGCTGAGTAAAGACTGCTCAGTGGCTTGCTGAGAATTGAAGACCAAGCAAAGAGTTACCTCAAAAAAGGCACAACAGGCTGCATCTGTTGAAATGAGAAGACATGGAAATAGGTCTCAAAACCAGACTTCCAGATCACCTAACTCCAAAGAGAAACAAAATGGAACAATCTGATACTCAACCACCTAGATTCCCTGAACTGGCAACAAAAGATGAACTGGAAAAAATGAAATCAGAAATAATTTCTCAGATAACAGCACAGATTGTGCCCAAAGTACAAGAACATGATTAATAAATGTAGAGTGGTCATAGACAAAAAAAAAAAATAGAGGAGCTGAGAAACATGATGGAATCCCAATAGGAAACAAATGGAATCTATAAAACAGATGCAAACAGATTTCTAAGAGATTAAAAACTCCATTGAAAGTTTATGCAGCAGAAAGATGCAATGCAAGGACAAAATTTCAGATACAGAAGATAGGATTGCAATTAGTGACCAGGAAAAGAAAAATCTCTTAAAAATAGTAAGGGACTATGAGAGATCAATCCAGCAGCTGCTGGATGATTCAAAGAATAATATAAGACTGATTGGAGTCAATGAAGAAACAGGAGAGAGTGCAGATCACATACAAAAACTGTTCACTGAAGTAATGGCAGGAAACTTCCCAAACAGGGGGAAAGAAACTGACATATAGATAAGTGAGGCTTATGGGACTACAAGTAGCCATGATCCAAAAAAATCTACACATAGGCATATATTAAGAGTCCAGAAACCCAACAGAACACAATTCTACAAGCAGTTAGAGAAAAGAAATAAACCACACACAAAGGAAAGCCCATTAGAATCACCGCAGACTTCTCAACACAAACCAACAAGGCAAGAAAAGCATGGAGTGAGGTATTTCAAGCCCTAAAGGAAAATAATCTCCAACCCAGACTGATGTACCCTGCAAAACTATCTTTCAAAACTGATGGAGAAATAAGATACTTTCATGATAAAGAGTACCTTAGGAGCTTCATAAATACTAAATCAGCACTACGAAAAAATTTATTATTTTTTTTTTTTGCAAAAAAATTTTAAACAATATCCTAGGAAAAGAAAATGAAGACCACAACCCCAGGAAGCCCAGCAGAATGAATCCATTAAACAAAACAAGAAAAATGCAAAGGGGGAGAATCCAACAATAAAAAAAGTCATGATAATAAGTCAATATATATCAGTTATAACCATCAATATTAAGAGTCATTTACCAATCAAAAGAAATACACTGGCAGAATGGGTCAAGAAGCAAGATCCAACAATATGCTGCATAGAGGAAACACACTTAATTCAAAAAGAAACTCAAACACTGAAAGTTAAAAGGTGGGAAAAACTAGTCCATGCAAACAGGACCCCCCCCTCAAAATCAGGAGTAGCTATGCTCTTTGCAGATCAAGCGGATTTCAAACCAATGCTGATTAAGAGAGACAAAGAAGGTCACTACATCCTTGTAAAGGGAACAATGCAAGAGAAGGA